CTTGTTCCTCACTACTACTTAACAGACATATGAGGCTTAGTCACTGCATAGATTTCTAGAATGTTCTGGGACTCCACAGCAAAGGTCGAGCCTTGGGACCAACTTGAAATTTCTTTGTGCTCTCATAGTTATTAACTGGGGAGAGGAGGGGTATACTTGAATTGAACCCAAGGCCTCCCACATGCAAAGCAAGCACTCTACCACTGAGCCATGCCCCCAGTCCCCTTACTACCTTGCTATCTTCCCACCACTACACAGACTCAGTCTCTGAGTTGTATCAAGCTTGGGTTTCTTCACTTCCTGCCTGCTGGGAAGCCACAGTTGCATAAGCTATTGGTGGCGAAGCTGTGTTTTATTAAAGCCATGCACATTAGAACATAGGTGCGGGGAGCCACAAGTGCACTATCTGAATGTATGTCAGGGTGAGGATGTCATCTTTCCCCACCCATCACCCATTCTCTGCTGAGTGGTGAGTCCTTATTTCAGTAACGGTCTGTGGAACATTTTGCACTTCTACACTTAAATGAAAGCTTGCTTTAAGGATACAGGAAGTGTCATATTGGATCAAAATAATGGTCTAATGAGCGCAGGGCTTTTATCACTGTGCTATCAGCAGCCCATTTTGTACTGGAGTTTAACTGGTGCTAATTGGAAAGAATTTTTTAATCATTAGTCTCTGATGAAAAAAGGAACAGTAAGAATAGCTGGGTGTGGTGGAGCATGCTTGTAATCCCAGCTAGGAAGGAAGCTGAGGCAGGAGAATTGCAAGTTCAAGACCCGCCTGAGTAAATATAACAAGACCCTGTCTCAAGACAAATAAACAAACCAGCAAAGGAGATCATGTGCAATGTTACTGGGGGAAGAAACTGTTTTAATCCTGAGACTGTCCCTCACACTTTATTAGTTTAAAAAAATATCCTACCATGCAAGTGGTAGTAGATGGTGAGTGGTTTGCTGTTTTTCAGTGTCCTTATTTGGTAAAGTAAAGAGTGGGTAACTTAATGTCAGTCTCTATGCAACTCTTTTCAATACTCTTTTTTTTTTTTTTTTTTTTACTGCGGTAACTTAAAATTTGCTGTCTCAACCACTTTTTGTTTTTTTTTTAAATTTTTTTTTTCTGGTACCAAGAATCGAACTCACAACCTTGCATTTGCTAAGCAGGCGTTGTGCCACTGAGCTAAATCCCCAGCCCCTACCACTTTTAAGTATACAGTTCAGTGGTATTAAGTACAGTCATTGTTGTGTAACCTTCACCATCTCCAGAACCCTGGTCATCTTGCAAAACTGAAATTCCATAATCACTAAACAGTAACTCCCTAGCCCTCACTCCCTGTTCCCTCTAGTCCCTGGCTGCCATCATTCCACTCTCTGTATGAATTTAACTCCACCAGGTAACTCACAGAAGGGGTGGCATATAATATTTTGTTTTACAATATTTTTCTTTTAGTGAGCACAACATCCTCATGCTTCATTCCTATTGTAGCATATGTTAGAATTTTTCTTCCTTTTTGAGGCTGAACAATACTCCATTGTATGTATGTAAAACACTTTGTTTATCCACTTATCTGTCTATAGACACTCGTGTTGCTGCCACTCTTGACCATTCTGAATGATTACTAGGAGCGAGGGAGTACCCATATCTTTTTTTGTTTTAAAAAATTGAGGGATGATTCATCTACAGTAAAATGCACAGATTTTAAGTGAGCAGTTTGTTGCATTTTGGCAAATATATTGATCAATGTATTTGCACCCTAATTGAAATATAGAATATTTTTATTATCCCAGAAAGTTCCTTTATTCCTCCTTTCAGTCAATCTGTCCTCTCGAACAATTACTGTTAGAATTTCTTTCTTATCGCCATAAATTAGTTTTGCGTGGTATACCTATTATAAATGGAATTCTACGGAATATGTGAACTCTTCTGTGTCTGGCTCCTTTGGCTCAATATGTGTTTGGGATTCAGCCACATTGTCATAATTCATTTCTTTTTATTGCTAAATATTATACCATTGTATTACATACACAATTTAAAAAATCAAATCACATTTGGTTTGCCTCCAGTTTTGGACTATTATTAATAAAGCGGTTATAAACTTTGGGGGACAGGGGTATTGGGGATTGAATCCAAGGCCTTGTGTATGCTGAGAATGCTTCACCACTGAACTACATCACAGACCCCTGAACATTCCTATATATCTTTTTGTAGACATATATCTTCATTTTTCTTGGGTAAATGAGCAGTGGAATTGTTCTCATCAGAGAGTTATATGTGTGACTTTATTTTAAAATGCTTAATGATTTTCTACACTGTTTTGTTTTTACCATTTTATTCTCTCTTCCCTCCTCCCCAGCTATGTATGAGAGTCCCTGCTTTTGTTTTTGTTTTTCACATTTTCACCATTCGATAGTCAGTTTTAGCATTTTAACCATTTGAGTGAGTTTGTGATCATATATGTAAAACTATTTTACAAATTTCCAGGTCAGTTAATTTCAGGGAATATTGCTGAATAGCTCTTTGGATAGAAGTTAAGGAAACACAAATCCTACCTGGTTTAACATTACTCATAGAGTTTATAGTCTCTTGATTCTACTGATACCTGAATTCAATTTTAAGAAGCAGAATCAGTAGAATCGAGAGAGTATAAACTCTATGAGTAATGTTAAACCAGGTAGGATTTGGTGGGTGGCAGATCCAGAGAAAAGCCATACTGGAATTAGTGAAGTCCAGGAAGGAAAAGAGAGTTTCTGAGATGGCTCCCACTGGTCAAAATAGTTAGATTTAGATCTTGAGAATCGCAGAGAAACAGACAAAGCTTCCAAAACTAAAAGCTGGACAATGACAGAAGAGTTAAGAAAATGATTTACTGAACAGAGTTGGATTCCAAAGGCAAAGATTAAGTAACCTAAGGAGAATACAGAAAGAGAATGTGAACAAGTTAGCAAGGTGAGTCGGCCTGCTAGGCAGCCTAGATGAGATTTTGAGTAAGAGGCCCAACAAAATCCTGCTTGAGAAAGGTACTCCCTTCCCCTTTCTGAAGTTAGTCTGAGAGGTCACTCTGGTCAAAACCTAGACTGAATGGGTTTGAGGATGGCTTAGGTAAATTAATACCCGAGAGACACAAAAGTGGGATTTAGCTCAGCGGCACAGCGCCTGCCTGGCAAGCACAAGGTCATGAGTTTGATTCCGGGTACCAGAAAAAAAAAATAATAATAAGCACTTCTAATTCTAGCACTCAAGGATATGGGTGGTAAGGGCATGTTTGCTGAAACTATGTATCTTCATGATTTGGGTCATATTGCTCCCAATTTTTGTATTTTTGGACAGTATCAGTAGTATAAGATTATGTAATCCATCCTAAAATGAAAGCCATTCTGCCTGCCTGATATCTTGATGTTCTCAAAACTTTCTTCACATCTTGAAACACAGCCACCAAAAGTTCCTTCCGCATCCTGGTGGGATAACACAATGATCTGGTCAGTGAGGAGACTGTGTGAGGCGAACGTGATAACCACTACACTACAGAAACCGATAGTGAGCAGGCTGTGGCCACTTTTCAAAATTACTAATTCCTCCCCCAATATCTGTTTCAGCCTCCTTTCACTCATAAACCGCCATTGGGACTATCAGAAATTAGGAAAGAGAAGAGTGGCCATAGTAGCCAGAAATATAAGTCATCCTCCCACAAGTTTTGTTGTCGCTGTTTTTAATGTTAAGGGTTAAAGCCAGGGCCTCACAAATGGCAGAAAGCACCCTACCACTGAGCTACGCTCCCAACTTTTTAAAGTGGTAAGTGACCGTAGCTGGGTCACCCATGAATGGAGAGAATAAAAGCAAGAGAAATGTTCATCTTTAGTTAATGAAGTCTGAATTTTATACTCATTAAGTCTAAAAAGAATATTTTAATGATAGCATGTAGGTAAGGGTTTATGGCATTAAAAATAATATTTTATTTTGAATTTTTCTCTGGAAAGAGAATATTGTAATCTTTTTAGTGCTTAATACCTGGTAAGGGTCTTCTTAATTTGTTCTTAATTTTGTTTTCTTCACTGCTATATGCTCAGAGCCTTGTACTTGGCTCGGTATAAAAACTGTGATTAATCAAGACCTATTAGATAAATTACCTCGTGGAAAGAAGGCCTTGCAGAGCAGAACGAAGCACTGGGAAAGGAATAAAAGTAAGGGATGGAGGCAGGGTTAAGAAGATGCATTAGAAGACTTGCCTAGAAAATCTGGGATGGTGCCCCTAGAGATTTGCTGTAATTTCTACCAGTTCCGTCTTACCGTTGGTTGCACCAGTTCACACTATTTTATCTGACTTCATTCTCTGCTCCTTCCTTCCTTGGAGTGTTTCCTTTCTATACTAAGCATATGAGGTAGTAATTGCTTCTTGAGGAGTGGGGGATCATTTTGCAAACCCACTTCCTTGTTCTGTGTCCCTGACCCTCAAGGGTTCTTAGGGACTTTGGCTCTAGGATGGGGTTGCAGTATTTTCGTTGCTGCTTTCTCCGTGGCTGTAATTCCCTTTGCATCATTTTCCCCCAGACCTATAAAAGAGAGGTGGCTATAGACTGTTCCTATAAATACATCAGTCTCTTCACCCTCTGGTGCGCTAGCTTGTAGATCTTGAGAGGGAGTCCAGCAGGCTGGATGTAAATATACTTTGTTTATGCCAGTTCAGTCTGGGCAAGTGTTTTCATCAAAATTGCAGGCTGAAATTGCTGGCTGCCAGAACAGCACTAGCAACTGAAAATTTTTCTGCTTTGGGGAGGATGAGTTGTGTTTTGAGTCTTTTATGCAAGTGTCCACAGTCCTAATTCCTTGTAATTTTATTAGAAGACATCTTTAGATCTGGGCATACCTTTCTACAGCTGGGCAAGAGATTGTTGGCTCCATTTGAATTTGTTGCTAGATTCTAAAGCCAGCCTTAGGCAATTCTGTAAAATAGGTATAAGGTATAACCCATGGAAAAGTGAACTGTATTTAACCCATCTCTTCACAGAGTCACATCCAGAAGAAACCCCAACCCAACTCCTACAAAAGCTTTAAGAAGCAAGGTATAGTAAAATTTCACTGATGTCATTTTGAGGAGGAAGTTGCTGAGCCCATTGCAAAACACACACACACTCTCTTAAATTTTCTTAACTTCTCAAGAGTTGCCTACAATCTTCTTTTTTTTCCCTAACATTCTTCACACTCACCTGTGCATTTTATTACCCTCTCTCCTGTCAGGGAATGTAGGGAGCCAGTATTTATTGTCTTCAATTTGAGATAAATTCACATGACATAACATTATTTTAAGAGCTGGGGTATAGCTCAGTGATAGAGCACAGGCTTAGCATGTGTGAGGCCCCAGGTTCAATCTCCAGCACAAAAAAAAATAAATAAATAAACATTTCATAGTGTACAATTTAATGATAAATTCACAGTATTGTGCATTTAGTTCTATCTGGCTCCACAACATTCTTTTCACCCTAAGAGAAAACCCTATATGATAATTCCTTCCCTTATCCTGGTTTCACTTCCCAGTGTCATGGTCAACCAAGGTCCAAAAAACTTTTTTGTGTGTGAGATACTGTACTAGGAATTGAATTAGATCCTTTTTCCTGAGTTACACCCCTGGTTCTTTATTTTATTTTTTATTTTCCAGCAAGTTCTTGCTAAGTCACCAAGTTGCCCAGGGTGGGCTCGAACTGTGATCCTTCTGCCCCAGCCTCCTACGGTGCTAGCATTATAGTCATGAACCACCATGCCAAGCTCAAGGATGAACAATTCTAGAAACAAGCAATATGTAAGTTTTAAATTGGGTACCATTCTGAATAGTGTGATAGAATCTTACACTGTCCTTCTTCATCAGACCTGGGACATGAATTATTCATTTTCCAGTGTATCCATGTTGTGTACATTACCTACCTTTTAGTCACTTAGTAGCTGAATTATAAGATCCACTGTTGCAGTAAACAGTACTTGTGTTCAGTAAACCTTATTATTACTATTTTTTAATAATGGCCCCAAAGCTGAAGAGTAGGGATGCTGGCAACTCAAATATGCTAAAGAGAATCAGTAAACTGCTTCCCTTAAGTGAAATGGTGAAAATTCTCTATTAAGGAAAGAAAAAAAAAAAGAAACCACATGCTGAGGTTGCTAAATTGCATAGTAAGAAGAAATCTTTTGGGGCTGGAGTATAGCTCAATGATAGAGCACCTACCTAGCATGTATGAAGCTCTGGGAAAAATTCATGCTAGTTTCACAGTTGTACCTCAAACTGAAAAAAAAGTCGTGGCTTGTAAAGGAAACTTGCCAATAGTTTGAGAGACAGGCCACATTTGTATAACTTTTATTATGGCACATTATTATAATCATTTTATTTTTTGTTATTGTTAATCTATTGCTGTGCTTAAACATTAAACTTTATTATAGGTATATATGTATAGGAAAAATTAGTGTGAATAGAGCTTGGTATTATCCATGGCTTCCGATATCCACTGGGGGCCTTGGAACACATCCCTCAAGGATGGAAGGATGGCAATACCCATTAGGCATCCATTCCCCATCTCCTATTGGACCAGTATTTTTGAAAACTCCTTGGGTTATTCTAAGAGGTATCCAGGGCTGAGAACCATCCATATCAAGCAGTATAGTCTTCCTTGGAACTTGCACTACTTAGAGCTCCATTCTTTCTCTGGAAGCCAAGCAACAAAGCCAAAGATCCCCTTTTTGTGTTTGCATAGGGGGGACTTCTGCTTGTTGCCTTAGTCACATTAGAACTATTGATTTTGACAACCTGGCTCCTCCCCTTTTAGTTTCTTTGCCCACCTCACCTGCTTTCCATTGCTAAATGGAAATTGTCTGGGCCCTCATTCCCAAGCAACCTGTTAAGCAAGCTCTTGAGTTGGATGTGATGGCACACATCTCTAACTCCAGCTACTCTGGAGGCTAAGGCAGGAGGATCAAAAGTTCAAACCCAACCGGGACAGGTTAGTGAGACTCTTGTCTCAGGATGAAAATAAAAAAGGGCTGGGAACATAGCACAGTGCTATCCTTTGGTTCAATCTCTAGTACCATGAAAAGAAAAAGAGTTCTCTAAGATGAGGATCCTCATCTTTCTCACCCCATTTCTAAATATCAGCTGTCACATTCTCAAGTTCTCTGGAGAATTTGTCTTTTAATTGAGGGAAAAGCCTAAGAGTCAAAGATTCCCTTTCTGTGCATTTTAGGCAATAGAAAGATGGGAAGAGGGAAAGACTGTTATTTGGAAATGAAGTAATCTATCCCAGTTACTCGTTACCTATACATGACACATATACCCTTAAAAAGTATGGTCTCCTCTGCTTCCATTCCTCACGCCCCTCTTGCCAAAAGCCCTGATCTTCATTTGTGGATCCAGGTAGTTCATGAAAATCAGGTTTTATCCCTGGCCCCAGCAATAGTGCTCCCATCCTAAGCCTTGCCAATCAGCATATTCCATTTCCCTAGCGATAGTGATCTGTTCAGGCGTAGATATGTAATCTAAACTGCTCCAATCTGAGTGAGACTAGGCAATTTTGCCAGGACAAGGACATCCTCTGTTTTCTTTGCTGATTGTGAATGAGAAAGTATGTAGCTTTGGGAGCTCCTGGCATCCCTCTTGGAATCACGAGGGGAGTCAGACTTAGAATAAAGTAAACATTGTGAAAATCAGGGCCAAAGGATAAAAGGAAAGCAGGAGCTTGGTGACCCACAGGAAAAGCTATGCCTGAATCCAGACTTCTCTCCTTTGGCCTTCTCAGTTATACAAGCCAAGAAATTCCATTTATTGTTTAAACCAGAATGAGTCAGGTTTTCTGATATGTACAAGCGAAAGTATCTGTTTCCCACCCTGCCTGCCTCATGGGAATAGAAGTGCTATCTATCTGTTTTACGTTGGCTACTATTTTTTGGAAATACAGATGAAAATCACCATCCTGGCTTCATGACTGGACAGCAGCATATCTATGCCTTAGAAGTTAGATCAAACTAAAATTTAAAATAAAGCTAGGAGTAGATCAGTGGTAGAACACTTGCCTCACATGTGCAGGGCTCTGGGTTCCATCCTCAGCCCTGAAAAAAATTTTTTTTAATAGAATGGCCCTACCTAAGTACAAATCTCAAGAAATTTCAATAAACACATTTCATTTCCCTCTAGCTTACAAAGATAAAAACTCCAAGGAATTAAGAGCAAACTCTATTTGAAATAGAAACAAAAGCAAATAATAATAAAGTATAAAGAAAATAACATGTGTTCCATTTAATTCAGAGAGAAGTACCAGGGAGTTTCATCTACTTAGCTGCCTTAAACCGAGCTCCTCAGAAGACTAGCCTGAGATGGGAATGCTTGTATGTGAGATTCATTGAGGGAGTGCCTTTAGGAATAATCTATAAAGGATTAAGGGAAGCAAGATAAAGGAGGATGCTAAGCCAGGATGGAAGAACTCTAACCTCAGCCTGATTCCATGCAAAGCTCTGGAATGTGAATTGCACCAAAGTTTGTCCTATCCAGAGGAAAGGGGGTCTATTATATCCTGGCAAAGGGTGGGGTGCAGGCAGCCTGTAACTTCTCAGGGCTTCTAGGCAAAGCAGCTCCTGTTAGGTGAAATCTTTCCAAGAAGGGTGCAGGTGTACTGTGCAGCTAGGAGGTAGGTACAGTGATGTGGCAGAAAGAATTTGGATGCTTAAATCATAGCATCTGCAAGAATTGATGTGACTTGAGTTTCTCCTGAAAATTTGCTTCATTTATTCATTTGGAGGTTTCATTCCATTTAAAAATTTTTGAAAACATTTTTTTGTTGGTCTTTTTGAGGCGGGGTCTTGCTATGCAGTTTAGGCCTTAAGCTGACTCACTTTGTGGCCCAGGCTGGTCTCAGGCTTGCAGTGATCCTCCTGCCTCAGCCTCCTGAGTGCTGGGATTGCAGGCGTGCGCCACCATACCCAGCCTTGTTATGAAAACTTTAAGTGAGCTGGGTTCGGTGCTGTATGCCTATGGTCCCAGGGCTCGGGAGGCTGAGGCAGGAGGATTGCTGCAGGTTCGGGGCCAGCCTGGGCTACAAAGTGAGTTCAAAGCTACCCTGAGCTGTAGAGTGAGACCCTGTCTCAAAAAAAAAAAAAAAAAAAAAAAAAAAAAGAAAGAAAGAAAGAAAGAAAAAAAAAACCTTAAATGAGAGTGAATTTCCTAAAATTCATACTTTAAATAAGAGAAGACCATAATGTTCAATACCTCACCCAACACCTACCTCTGTCCAGATTACTAAGGCACCTGGCACAGTCAGATTGTGTATATGTTAACTATGTTAAGATATAAACACTTAAATCCACCTTAATTCTAATCATTAAACTATTACTATGGCTGCTAATAAAAGGCTATTACTTAAAAAGTTTTTCTACAGGGTTAAAATCATTCTTTTTTTTTGCTGCTTGCAACACAGCAGCAAGTGTAAGAAGATTCTAATTGGATGCTGCTTCCTATTTTCATCATCCTTTCTGTCAGTCCCTTTAAGTTAATGGGTCTCTATGGCCCTCAGTTAATCTTGATTTCTTCTTCCACGTGTACTAACCACATGCCTGGTCAGGTGAAGAAGGTATTGCATTTCATGTCTTTGTTAATGCTCAGTAAACCTTTAAAACAATTCACATATCTTTTCCAGTTTCACCAATATGTACTTTTATTTCGGCTTGCTTGTTACTTTCTTTCTCCCATTATTTCTGCTCATAAGTTAGATGTGCATACAGTGTATCTATACCCCAGGCTGAGTGAAAGGTAATGAACTCCAGGGTATGATGGTAGGAGTCCTGAAGAGATTTTATAGATAGGGCTGAAGTTTCCAGTTCTGCTCTGTGTCCTGCTATTGTCCTTGTTTGAATTGGTTAGTGGCACCTTAAAATTAGAATCTTTCCAAACTGTCCTGCCAGCTCACATATTTGTTGTGAGCATTCAGTAAGACAACATGCACAAAGGGGCAAAGAGCTGGGCATGGTGTCACACACCTGTAATCCCAGCTACTTGGAAGGTTGAGGCAGGAGACTTGCAAGTTCAAGGCCAGCC